ATAAGGGAGTTTGAACCAGGGGGAAATTAAGTCTAGCGCAATAAGTTCTTTTCTTTTTTTTTTTTTTTGATGACAGTTGAAATGTTTTAAGTCAGTTCAAAAAGCTCAGTTTCTTAGTTCTTTTTTTCCCCACAGGTAAGTTCTGTGCAAACTTCAAAAATAACGCATATAATTAGCTCTATTCCTCTCGGTAAGAGTGTTGCTGGCTGAACAAAGCGTGAGAAGAAAAAGTTAACAGAATAGTGATCTGGGCAAAACTTTTTTTTTTCTTTCCCCTCTCTTCTTTTTTCCTGTCTCCTCCTTACTGGTGTTCACAAGAGAACCGTGCTGGGCATATTTGCGTGCAGATCAGCAGCTTCAAGGGCAAATAGTGATTATAGCTCCCTTGTCTGGTCCTTCATTGGCATGCACTTCATCGGGCAGTCTAGCTTCTTCTTCCTTATGTTAATGTTAGCTTCAAATTACAGCATTACTTTTAACAAAAGTTATTTTTGAGGTAGCATTATATTTATGCAGTATAGAAATAAAACTCAGCTGGGTAGCTTTGGAATTTTGAGCAAGGTCCAAGAAGACAGGTGTGTGTTTGTTTAAATACTTGATTTAAATAAGCTTTGGATATTTCAGTCTGAGAGGCAAAATTTTCCCGTCTGCCATCCTCTCTATAAGGATACTTTCTGGACGCTGCCTGCTGCAGGGAGCACTCGATAATCTTTCTGAACACAGGCTATGAATTACTCTTTAGTGTTGCAACTGTAAACACTGTGATAGGTTCTGCCTGCATCAGACTGAAATTGGGAAAGAATAAAGAAGTTCGTGTGAGTTGTGTACATGAAAGCGCATGTGGAAATACTGCAAGTAGTGTTAATGTGCACAACCTGTCTGCCTGTTTCTTGAAACTGCTCTCTCAGCAGTGTGAGGTCTAGGCTTTGACACTAATGTTGGCATACGCTGCTAGTCTGGACTGTGAATTGTTTAGCAAATACTGTGCTCTCTGGAGTTCTCAAAGGTGTACCTTTTGTAGTATATTCCAGCTTCTGCCTGGAAGTGCATAACTCTAGACCAGAGAAGCACATATATCTGACTTGCTAGACCCTTTATTGTAACAGGGGAAACTTTGTTTTCATAGGTCTAGGATGTAGAATTGAAACAGATTTTTGTCCCGCTCCTATAGTGAGGTCTCTTTCCAGTTGCCTGGAGAGTATCTGGAGTGGAATGCTCTGATCGGAGCGTTTTCTCCTATCCAGCATGTAATTGGCTACGTTTTTTCCAGACCTTACATTAGTCAACTGCTAATTGGGAGGGTTAAACCTCTCTAAAACCAGTTAGGATCTGCCTAGCTTCCTGGACAGAGAGTGTCTTCTGGGAGCTATAGGCTCCTTTCAGTGACTGTTTTATACCAGTGCTTGTTTCTCAGTTCTGGCGTAAATAAGAACACGGCAAAGTAGACATTGCTTGGTGTACCTCTCAAGGTCTGTATACAGACCTTGAATGTTGAAAGCACTGTTTTCCATGCCTAGAAGTGACTAAAAGTCTGCATTACAGCACCATATCAAAAATAGGTCTACCTGTTGATACTAATGCCGAGCATGGACTGAGTAGAATTTTTCACATGCTTGTGTTCTTGTGAGTTCCTCTAATACTGCAGTTTGACCCGGGAGGTCACAAAGTAAAAACGCAGCAGGCTGTTTACATAACATGTACAATGATGGAATTTTATAATTTCTATTATTATATTGGAGCTTCTTATTGAGTAGATAGGGATGGCAGTGTCCTTTAACCTGGGCATGTTCTGAGTAAAGTACAGAGCCTGTATCCTGCTCTCTTCCTGCTCTCTTCTTAGGCCAAAGAAGAACAGAACAGAAGGGAGAAGCTGATGGGTCTTGCTTGCAGTGAAACAGAAGGGAATGTGAAACATGTTTAAAGTTTATCCTGAACATTTAAGCCATGTTCAGGTAGCAAGGGGGTGACAGTAAGGTAAAAATCTTGAGAATGACACCTTGAAAACGACTGATAAGACTAAGAGGCGTGAACTTGGTTAGAATGATTAAGAAACACTTGACCTACCCTGATACGCTCAACCATGGAGAAACAGAAAATAGCTCATTAGAGGAGCCTTTGCAATTTAGATAATCTTAGACAAATAGACAAATAACTGTTTAGTAAATAAGGCATCAATATTTTGTAAAGAAGAGTGAAGTTTACTGCTTGCTGGAGTAATTTGCATCCTTTCTGCCTGGCTCTGCTGCTTAAGACAAGCAAATGGAGAATAAGGGCTACCTCATGCAGAGAAGCTTTGTTTTTTTTGTTTTGGTTTTTTTGCCATGACTGTGATTCTCAATTTCTGCATATAATACAAGCCATAGTATGTCTCAAGCTCCTGTCTTCTGCCTCTCTGCTCCTTTCTTAACCTTCCCCCTGTGTTCAACTAAGTTGAAGCAACTGCTGCATAGCAACTTCTATGTATTAGAGCCAGCTTGGCTTTGATAAGTATTGAAAGACATCAATCTTGTTTACAGTTGTAAAGCAGTGACTATTTTGGGGGCAGCAGTCCTTAATGGAAAGTTCAGGCTCTGTTAAGAATGACCCTGGTACTTAATGGGTATGTTTGCAGGGTCCGATTGCTCTCTTTCTCAACTATTTTGACTCTGCCACTTCTCCAGTCAAATCAGTATGAAGAATACCACCTTTGGAAACAGTGGTCTTGGATGGCTCTCATGTTAGAAGGAAACCTTCCTGATTTAGCTCTGTGCTGTTATATTGCAGACAAAAGAGCATTATGACCTCGTTCATTCACTGTACTTTTTGGAGGCAGGGTATTAGGAATGTACCAGGGAGAGCGTATCTGGCCTTGTGGGAAATAGCAGCTTTTAGCATGATACAGAGAGTGGAGCTATGTTTATATGGCATAAAAGAAGAAGTTAAGCTGTTAATCAGCAGCAGGGAGAAAACAGCCTCAGATGTTCATGTCATCATAAAAGTCATTGACTCTTTTGTATTCTATTAGCTAACCTTTAAAAGATGCCTAATTCTTCTTATTAATATAGTCTTGTTGATTAGCCCTGGTCCTAATTTATTCTAGCTAAACAATACCTTGAACCTAAATAATATCTGACTCGGAAACAGTGACTTGAACTCTTGAAGTCGGGTGCTACTCGAGACAAACAGCCTACAGAAAGGGCCTGTCAGGGCAGAACAGGGGCTTGTGCTTGTTGGTTATTTTGTGGCTCCTTTCTAGGAAAGGAATTAGTGACTCAGTTGGTTCAAAGAACAATGTTCTGTTTTTATTGGTTTGCCTTTACACTGTGTTTTAATAAATGATTTAGTGAGTTAGCTGGGGAATATTTAAGACAACCTGGCTTGAAAGGTTTGTCTGACCCGAAATACAAGACATCCGTGTTTTCAAATTTGGTCATTCTGAAGGGGATTGAGTTGGCAGAGACCATAGCTTCCACTCTCTGTAGGCTTAGAAAACATGTATTTATTCAAGAGGTGTTTTTTCCATCCCGCTTTAGGATGCCTAAGCGGGGTAACAAAAGTTAGTCTCCTAAGAAATGGCAGAATGGGAGGTGATTTGTATGTAGTGTTATGATGCTTTCAGAACAAAGTGGAGAAACGGAGGTGAAATGAAACAACCTGCTCAGCCAAGCACTGTCTATTTCAGTTTAAGATCAAATGTTTTGATCTCGGGTTCAAAAAAGACTTGTTTTGTGAAAGTTTATTGATGATTTTTTAACAGGCCATTCTGTGGAAACCTTTTTGTTGGCAGAGCATGGGAGGAGGGTGTTTCTGAAGAGAACAAATGCTGCTTAGAACCTCTCTGGATGGAGATCAGTATGCACTTGTGGGAGTGTGAGGAAAGTATTTGGATTCGTGAGATGTTCCCTCCCTATAAGGATCTGAAAGCAAGGCAAAGCTTGTGATGCAGCTGATGCAGCAAAGTTGCTGTCCCCAACTCCTCCCTAGATAGCTGGTCAAAACCTTAAGATGAGTACTGTGCAGTTACCATCTCTGGTTAACTGGTAGGGTACCTTAACTGGTAAGGTATACCATTGTAGTACTCACTGGAAGCAAGGTACACCTTTCTCTTGCCTTCACTTGTGTTTCATTTACACTTCAAACATCACAGCCATTTGATAATGAGGCAAAGACTCCCTCCACTTGCAGTTTCACTTATTTCCTCCTTCATTTCTTGTCTTACTCAAGCTCCTGGAGAACCCTCTCTGTTTGCACATCCTTCCTCTTCTCTTTAGCTTCCCACTACTTCCTTGGCAGTCCCTCCCAGAGAGCGAGCTCTGTGGTTTCAAAGACTGCTTGCTTCTGTCATAAGCTCATCTTGAAAATTAAATCCCTTGTTTCCATCTGCATTCTTTTGTCCTCCTTATTAACAGTCCAGCATTCTACCTTTTTAAACTTCTGCTTTGACTCACTAGCACTGTGCTTGATTTGTTGGTTCCCTCTTTCAATTGCACTGCTCCTTCGTAGTGTCCTTCAGTAGTTTTGGCTCTGCCTGCTGTCTGGCCACTTCCCCCTTCTCCAGCTTATTAATTCTTATTCATATGATTTCATTACTGATCTACCTCTTTGTGCATTTTCTTTAATTGAATGTAACTTGGCTGTAAATAGGAAGGATAAACTAATCTTGGTGTTGTTTATAAATATCTTATTAAACTATTTTTAATAAACACTTTTGTTTTTAAGTTCTGTCTGAGACATAGATGGATGGTTAGGAGGTTCTTCTGCAGTCTTGCTTGTAGAAGATTCTCTGGCTTTGTGTTTGGGTAGTTTGAAATTGTTGAAAGCTTCAAGAATGATCGCTTACTGATTTCTAATTGTAGCAAACTGCAACATAGTTCCCAGTTCAAATAAGTGCCGATTGCCATTTTTATCTTTATTCTGCTTAGTTGCTGCTGTACCTTCTTCCCTCTCCTCTTATTTTACAAACAGAAAATATTACTTAATAATTAGATGACTGCTTTGAGTTAAAAATACTTTTTCCTTTTTTAACATAAAAAGACATCTCTGTAATTTTGTTTCCAGCCCCATCTGTTTTGATATGATTGAAGAAGCCTACATGACAAAATGTGGACACAGCTTCTGGTAAGATTTTTCTGTATTCATTAAAATGTCTGTCTCCTGCAGCATGTATAGGCAGACACGTAACTGAATTCTTTTCCTTCCCAGTATTGTTTTCTGTCTTCTGTCCTTGCACTGAAGAAAGATTGAAATCACATTTGAAAAGATGACTACCAGTTGGTTTAAAAAGTGAAGTTGTCTTAGTGTTTAAAACGAGCATTGTCACCATGCTACTTTTTTTTCTTAAAAAAAAGAAGAAAAGGTAGTCATTAACTGTTGGTAGCGTCCACTACCTAGAGTCAAAACAGTTGCCAACTTATTTATACTGGAGAACGGGGGCTTCTCGGCTATTTTTGTCTATTATCACCTGAAGCAGTGGATCCCACTGCTCGTGGAAGTCATGGGAGTGAGTGCTGGTGTTGGTAGGTCCTCCTTGCCTTCATGCAAGGCCACACACAGTTTGAAATGGCTTACACCTTGACTTTTGGAAACCCGTGTTTTTTACAGAATTTGAGTCTATTAAGCTTCTTAGAGAATATGCTTCAGGCTTGCTTCTTTCTCTTCCCCCTCCCACTGATGTTTTTCTTCTTGCAAAATGTTTACTAGGAAACTGTTACACTGGATTGGCCCAAGGTCCATATATTCTTGAGTATGTTATCTCTGGCTGTCACAAGAAACAAATGCTTCCTGGAGAAGTACAAGAACCCTCCAGGGGGCAGGTGTGGAATTATCTGTTCCTTCTGTTCTCAATTAGGGGTTGGAATAAACTTTGAACCATGAGGTTTTAATGTCCTGTGTGCACGGTACTCTTATGGTGTATGTTAACTAGAAATACTTCTTGTACCTTTTACAAGAAGTAGTATTTTGGTAGCTTTAAATGCTTGCCTCAAGCAGCAGATTCAGCTAATTTTTAAAATATGCAGCAGGTAAGGTAACAACTGATTTTATTCCCTACGTGGTAACACTGTATTCCTGTGTTTGACAACATTTTTTAACATCTGAGATGAGAAGCATTCAAATATCTTTAGAATGAGCAGAGCAATGTTGTGTCATAGGATGTCTCTTTTGGTAGTTGACATGAAGCTAAGGATGAGGGATACGTAAACTTTCTGTTAAAGTGCATCTCGTGATTATTCCATCCCTCACGTAGCTAAGAGTTGAAGAGAGCACTTAGGAAGCAGCTTGTGTTGATTGCATACACGGGAAGAACATCTGAGGGTGGCAGGAAATGTGAGAAGTTGGGAGAAAGGCGTTTCATCTCTGCTTTATTACGCAAAAGGCACAATAGCTTTTAATGCCACTGGCTAAGTATTTGGTTAGCACAGAAGAATTGTTTCTGAGTAACGCAGTTCGTTTTGTTAGCTCTCTGGAAGAGGAGCGTAAATTCAGGATGGAGGCATGATTGAGGTGTTCCTATTGCAACAGTCCTTGGTGAAATGAGTGAGAGTTAAGTACTTAAATAGTACTCATAATCCTCACCAAGAAACTTAACTGTCTTTTTGTCGTAACATGCTTTTAGTTAATACTGGAACATTCAGGCTTCAGTGTTGTAGGATCTTGGCAATGCAGCTGTTAGCTAGCAACACAAATAAGAGTATAACTTATCCAAGGTTGATGTTTACCTTATAAGAGTTTTTCTTCCTTGAGGTTTGCTCACTTGTTTCTTGATGTTTGTTTTTTTTTTTTAACAGCTATAAATGTATTCATCAGAGCTTGGAAGACAATAACAGATGTCCCAAATGTAACTATGTTGTGGACAACATAGATCATCTTTACCCCAACTTCTTAGGTGAGCCCTCTGTTCACTTGCATAAGAAACATCTTAGCTGTGACAAAGGTTCACCTGGTTCTGTATATTAAAAATAAAATCCACACACCAGCCCTTATCAGTTGTGTTTTTTAAAAAAAAAAAAAACAAAATCCCAAAACAGCTGGTTAGTAGTATAAATTGTTATTACTCCACTGCCTTCAGCAGTGCTGTATGATGATTTATAGCAGAAAGAATCAGACTTGCTGTTGTTGGCATACTATAAAAAGTAAAACTGAAGATGTTTTCTTAGACTAGAAGGTTTAAATCTCTATTAGACAGATGACAGTCCAAGAAAATAGAAGTAAATAATCAAAAACATGCCCTGTTTACAGAGCATGAACACTGAAGGGGGCTGGCTTGCATATGGTATTGCTTTGACCTGGGATTTAGATTGGATTGGCTACTTCAGTGAGGTCCATGTGACTTGTGTGTGTAAACTATGTAGAGAAAGAATGTGCATATAATACGTATTTTTTTGGTCCGTAAACAGAGGAGGGAAATGCTCATAGCTGGAAATAATACTGGGTTACTGGGGAGAAAAGATCAAAGGAAATGCACTGCAGTATGAAACATCAAAATTAAATTCAGTTTTGGATTTCATGTGCTTGGGATATCCATTTAATAGTGGATAGATTAAAAACCATAGCAGCCAAAGAATGCTTCAGAAGCAGGCACCCCCAATTCAGGCCTAACGCTGAGGCAAGTCTGGGAATGTGCATTAGGCCAAAGAATGTTGCTTCTGTACACTGTTTTTCAAGGGTTTGAGGTCTGTTTTGGGGAAAACGGAGGTAAGGAAGGGGAAGAGCTTGTATATGTGTGTAAAGGGATAGGACAAATGAGGTTATCTTTTCTTTGACTATTTCCATCATTCACAGTATTGATGTGAAATAAATCTGTAGCAAAACTGTTTGCAAAATACAAATATGGTGATTAAAGGTAAAAGTTGTTCTATTTGACTGCGCTTGTTGTCAGGCTATAGTAAATCTGTTTGTTTTATCTCTGTCATGCTCTTCTATGATGTACTTCTGCTTCAGAGTTGAAAAACTTTGTCTAGTAGAAAAGCATGGGCGCTGAGAAAAGACCTAAGCAGTTTGGGGAATGCGTAGGCATTATATTTGCCAAAGGAGTCTTAAAGCTCCTTATCCTTCACAAATTTATCCAAGGAATAAACTGTTCAGAAAAAATGGAGACACTTTTTTTTTACCCTTTAATTACTAATAATTTTAACAGTGAATTTAAAGTAGAAATCTTGAGGTGGAATTTTTCATGCTTGCATTGTGAGCTTTGTTATCTGTCCATCTCTTGCTCTGACATCCTATTTGTTTATTGTTTTAGTCAATGAACTTATTCTTAAACAGAAGCAAAGATCTGAGGAGAAAAGATTCAAACTGGACCATTCAGTGAGTAGCACCGTATGTTCCAACTTTCTTACTTTATATTTATTTAATGGTTCTGTCATTGTGGCCTAATTCGTTCTAAATTTTATTTTTGAGATGATGCTTTAATTTACTTTGCAGGGAATAATCCCAGCATCAGTAGCGTTGGATCCCTTCAACCTTGTTAACTCTAATTCTTCCTGCCAGGCAGTATACATGCAGAGACAAGCTGTTAGCATAGTTAAATGTCATGCGATGTACTGAATATAACCTAGGAAATTACCCATGGAAGCATACTTGTTTAAAGGTAATAATCTTCATTCAGTGTTGGAAATTACAACTACAGTGAGTTATAGATGATTAGTGCTGCCACAAACCTCTCTCCTTGTGTGAGAGAAGCAGTTAGAAGAAGGATAATGCCAGCCACAAGAGGGAGAAGGATATGTTTGGAGTACCAATGTTCTGGCTCTGATCCCTGAGAAAACTTCCTATATCTATTCTAGATTTCTTTCGTGTCACAGAATCAGAGTACAACTTAGCATAATTCTTATTCTTGATTGAAGAAACCCGTGTACTGCAGCAGTAGAAATTCTTGTACATTAAAATTGAAATGAACACATGGTTTCAAGCAGGAGACTTAAATACTGTTGTTTTTGCTGTATCTGGTTTCCTTCCTTTGCTTCTATAATTCATGAATATAGTTAGAAAGTAATATTAAAGATCATGAAACACCTGTTTTTAGTGTCTGAAACTCTATTGAGTGTTGTTAATTTAAGGACTGCACTGTAGAAAATTATGCTTTCAGCAGTTGTATGCTTTAGAAAAGAGTGCATTTAAAAGATTTATTGGCTTACTTGCAGCCAGATTTTTATATTTAATGTCGAACAATTTCATATCTATTTTAAAATGTGCACAGCTGACCTGAAGGCATCTACATATAACTTCTTGGAAATCGGTTCTATTTTCTCAGTGGTTCTACTTTCTCTCATACCACACCTTTTAAAAACCATACCTATAGATGCATCTACATTAGATAGCTGCCAGTAATTGTCGACATCTACCATGATTTCATTCCAAAAAAGAGTATTGTGTCTATCTTTTGGCAGCAAATAAAAATGCCAGCCTCTCTAAAAAGAGAAGCCTTGCTATTGTACCACCTTTTCACTGTACCTGTTCTCCTCTTGTAATGTTTCTGATGTTAAGACAAGTCATTTGAGACATGTTACAATAAACAAATCCTGTATTAAGCATTTCTTGGCAATGGATTTGCCTTGTTAATTAAGAAATCATGTTGAGGCATCTCTAAATTTTTCTGAGTAGTTTAGCTTGTCCATCAAATTAAGGGCACTTGTACATAAACTTTTTTTGTGGTCCCCTCAACATCAGTTAAGGCAAGCTTCACACTGTATACCATAAACAAATGGACAGCCTTTTTATCCATAATGCAAACACCTTACTAGAATCTGATATCTAAGAAAAATTGGTCTTTCTGTAATGTCTTTCCTCATTCTGTTGGTACACCTCCTTTTCCCTAACCTTGCTTATTAAGCCTGACAAACCTGTAAACAGTGCTCCAATTATACTCCATTTCTGCAAGAAGTTGTTTTCCGGGGTTCGTCTTGTAACTCGTTTTTCTGGATCTTTAACAATTTTACTGTTTTAACTTTATTAATTGAGTATCTTTTTTGTCCAAAACAAACTCATTGTGGGGCAATCCCAAATCAAATGAGAAAATTTCCTTTCTGTAAATCTGATTTCTTCTTTCTGTTTTTCTCATTCTTATGAGAATACAGTATGTCCTGAAAGTTATTTTGGGTTATACTAGTTAAAGTTTGTCTCAAATTACATGTTGACTTGTTTTAAAAACTACATAATTTTTTCCACTTGCCCCAGACTGAAATTGAGTTTTTTGTCTCTGTGGTTTCCACAGGTTGTCTGAATGTTTTATAAAAGAAATAATCTATATATATATATATATATATGGATTTTACATGTTTTTCTTAATCTATCCAATACAAATAGGCTATAGCGTCTTAGAAAATGTCTGGATTTTGTTGGATGACATTTCTTGTTCTTGCGAATTTAAACACATTGATTTAGTGTTATAGCTTTACAGGACAGGATTTTTTTAATCCAGCTTTGTTTTTTAGAAGGCCTGAAAGTCTTTCAGCTGCTTCTCTTGGTTTCTGAGGCTTTTTAGTGTAAGACTATGCTAGCACTAACCTATTATTCAGGCTTTGCATGCTAAGAGATACTTCTTTATGTGTTACTGATTATAGAGTAAACACCCTGTAAGGAAGGGGGAATGGGCTGAGTGGGTAGCATGTTAGCACTGAGGAGTGCTTTTCAGTTCTAACAAGTTGGAACTCATCAGGGTGATCTTTTCATTCATCTTCTTTGTTGCTCTTGCGTTTCTGTGAAAATCCTTTTTGAGAGGAGGTAGTGTAGGAGATGGAAAACGGAAGAAACAGACTGATACTCCCTTCTTCCATTTGAATTTCACTTGGAAGGCTTAACTTATTGTTTAGACAAAAAAAAAGATATTGCCAGTTAACAGTATTTCAGGTAAACTTAGAATTCATAAATAAACTAAGCTTGGATAAATGCATTTTTTCTTCCTTTTCCCCATAGAAATATTTTCTCAAACTAGGACACAAAACAGATAAAGCTGTGACTTTGAAATAATCTCTTCATAGCAACAGCTAAGCTCTTGCAAAGGGAGTGTTCTCAAAATATCTTCCGAGAAAGGGAAGTGGTTACACAGAAGCAATAGGACAGAAAAGCTGTCCTGTACGTGTGCAGGAATTAGTTTTCAGGAATCAGAATTCCCGTCTTTTACAAAGGATGAAATACTGAAATGTTGCTTTTAATATTGTTGCTGGGCATCACCCTGGATGGCTTGAACTTAACTGTCTCTGCAACATCTCTTGTTTTCTTAGAATGGCCATAGATGGCAGATTATTCAAGACTTGCTGGGAACTGATCAAGACAATCTTGACTTGGCCAATGTCAACCTGATGCTGGAGCTGTTGGTGCAAAAGAAGAAGCAGTTGGAAGCAGTAAGAAGTTTCTCATGTCCCATTTAATTTTTTTAATGTAACCCTTGATTAGTTAGCACCACCTTCTTTTCACACTATTACCTTTGTAAAGTTAAACTCTGTTGCTGAATTAGTTGCTCAAAACTTTCTCTTAACGCTTTGGTGTTGAAAAGTTGCTGCAGCAAAAGTTAGCAAGTGGCCAAACTGTCTAATGCTTGCACTGCGATGTCATAAATGTGCTTACAGTGTTGCTGCTGGCAGGGTTGTGCAAATGGAAGGGGTGAAATGGTGGAGAAAGTGGCTAGCAGAACACTTAAATATGCATGGAGATGTTTGCTAATTGAATGTTACACTGGTAAATTTTCAGACCTTTCTAGGTAATGAGCTTTAAGAAGGCCAAATTGTAGGTTACAGGTTAACTGATAAGGTGGCTGAAGATATGAACGTGAACAAACTGCACTAAGTTTTAGTTTCTACTCTAATTGATGGTCTTCAGAGATGAAAATCATTCAAGTTCTATGTTCCTCTAGTATTTCATGCTCAAATGAAAAGTTCAGATGTCTTGTTTATGATGTCAATTTGAAGACTTTTCACAATGTGAAGCAAGCTGCTACATGATTTAACTGAAATGTAGTTGGTTTGGGATGGTTCTTTTGTATTTGGCCACTTCCAGGATACATTCACGCCATGCTCTTGGTGTCAGCTTTTCTCAATTTTCCAATTATAAGAGCCAGACCTTCTAAATTAAACTGAGTTAGAGAACTTGGTCTAGTGAAGTCTGGGTAGGAGGGTGGATTTTAAAACAGGTGAGGGAAACTTGTTTTCAGAATTACTTATCTTACTCTTGGAAAAAATCAACATTTACACAACCTCTCCTTCTGATGGAAGGAAAATAACTGAGAAATCTGCTTACTTAACTACCAGTGTGTCATATATTATCTTATTGTGTGGAGACTCATATGTATGTTTTTTACTGTTGTTCAGTGAAGATAGGTGGACTATGGTTTCTAACTGAATAGTAAAACCTCTTTCCTCAAGCCTTCTTGTCTTCTTTGTGACAAACATCAAAGAAGACACAGGATTGAGTGTATATATGCTTCTGAGCAGAAGCAAACAAGTGTATTAAGACTTAAAAACAAAACAAACTTGCTATTTAAACAGCAATTTAAAAGCACTTTTTCTTCCTGGTTTTGCTTGCTTCACTTTCTCACTGTAGTCATGGGGGTAGGGAGGAAGAAGGGAATCATCCCAGAAGAGTAGTCTTGTGTCCTAATCTGCAGTTGCGTTTTTCTCTTTACCCTTCCCTTCTGGGTGCTCATGTGCCTCAAACCTTTCTGAGTCTACGGTCCTTTTAATAATAATGTTTTTGTATATATAGTTAATGTTTCAATATGTTACAGAAGTGGATGCTAATAATCTTTCAGGATAGAAGATGAGTTCTGTGAGGAACCTCTATTCCAAAAGCAATTTCAGATGCACTAGCCATCTGAAAAAGTGTTTTGCTGTATGGAGACCTGTTACAAGGATTTCTGACTTCATGTAAAAACTTGCCATGAGCCAAGCAAAACCTTAAAACCTGTGAGGCAAAGTAAAACTACCATTCTTGCAACTGTGCCTTGATAAGCTATTTTATTTCATTCATTTCTAAAAGAAAGCTGTTTCTGTGCTAAGTTTGAATTTCTGTGTAAAAATGTCTTTCTCTTAAACTGTATGAAAGAGCTACACGCCTTTATTTACTGTGCATTGCAGGAGTCCCATGCTGCGCAATTGCAGATCCTTATGGAATTTCTCAAAGTTGCCAGGAGAAATAAACGAGAGGTAAATTGCTTTTTTATTATTATTTTTAAGTGGATGAGGGGTTATCCACTGCTTTCTATCAGTTCATTTTTAAGTGATGTGTTAGTCTGGCATTATCCCTGCAGAGAGGAAGACAAGTTGAGGGGCGGGAGGGCAAAGGACACATCAAGGAAAATCAATCTATTTGCATGTGACAGTTCCAGTTTTTAATTTTTGTCTCCCACTGGTGAAGCATGTGGGAAGAAGGGAAACTGAGAACAGCAATTTGTGAATTTGATGCAAGTTTGTAGCATGGAAACAAGGTATTCTGTGATAGAAAATTTGAAAGATGGGGAAGGACTGAAGTAGTTGTCTGTCTTAAATTCTTTCTTGCAGCCTATGAAATGCCTTGATTAATCCTGTGTCTTAATGGATATTCTATGTTATTTCCATATTTGTCTCTCAAAATGGGGGTCTCAAGGAATGAGAGAGGGATCTGTAATGGATACGCTGCTTATCTTCGAGAAGAAAACAAAACTAAAAAGGTACCAAAGGAGGTGGTGATTAGGAGACTCACTTAGGCTGTGATTGAGCTTGCTTCATATGACCTTAATTTGTGACTGTTGTAGAGTATCAAGTCCCAAACCATGGAAGCAGTTCGTTTTTTTTTTTTTTTACAGCTTTGGCAGGCTTGTGTAAAATGCTAGTACCAGAAATATACTAAACCTAGATAAATGGTGGTGAAAACAGCAAAAGGACACATTTGTGGGAGGCCCCGGTTTATGATGAGTGATGTGGTGAAGGTGTGGATGTGGTGGCCTGACTGTAAGGTGTAGTGCAAACTTGAACCATGTAAAGGCCATGGGTGTGAAAAACAGTTCAGAATGGTTCAAGGCTCTGGTTGCAGAGTCGTTGCAAAGCAAGCTGCTCAATGTCCAGTGACAAAAATCCCTGGCCTTCGGACCAGAACCATGAACAGGAAGTAATAGGAAGGAACTAACCAGAAGGGAAGCCTGTTTTCAAGGTAGGTGCATTTGTAGACAATGGGACCTCTTGGACTAGATCTAGTCTCTCATGAGAAGTGGTGAAAATCATGTTGATAAGGATACATAAACTTGAAAGGAAAACGTACACTAGAGGATATCTTGGCAGTCACTGGAGGTGATCAGTAAAGGCCAAATAGCATGCTTCCTCTAACTTCTGTTCAGTATGAAGTGTGCTATTTGAGTCTTCAATGTTTTTAAAAAAAAAATAGTTTTTTTCATGTTTTGTTTTTAAGCAGTAAAGGAACAAACACGGCTTAAAAAGCACTGAGGTATCTTCTAGCCTTCACTTCTTAAATGGTGGTAGAACTTATTTTATGGCAGCTTAGTCAATAAGCACCTCTCTGAAAAATCTTCAGAAACTGTTTTCACTTTTTCGATTTGTAATGTTTAAGATCATATGGAGAACATCAGAAGCTTGACCCATCTTCACTTCAGAACAAATGCAGGCTCTGGCCATTTGCACTCATTAAACACCTTCCACTGGGATTTGGCACAGCTTAAGGGAACGTTAGGAGGTTGCAGAACTTTCCTGGTAGTACTGCCTCTATCTGGGAGGTGAAGTGAGAAGCTCATGCTTCAAGAGGCTCATACGCTGCTTACCTGGGGTGATGCTTGTTGGGTAACCCTATGTGTGATTCAAGTGCAGAGTGGCTGGGGTAATGCCACAACAATACTGAAAGCCTTTGCTTTGCTCTCCCCTAGTCGAAACTGAGTTTAAACAAATCTTACAGAAATCCGTTGATAGCTCCCGTAGGTTGCTTGAATGGGAAGGACAAAGGGAAGGGAAATGTTGTCGTTTCTGTTCTTGATTTCTGCATAGCGCAGCATTCCTCCGCTGACTGTGGTTTTCAGCGTCTGGGAAAACTCATGTCTCATCTGCATCTGCCCTTGGCTTTAGTAGTAATGGACAAAGGTGGCATCTTATCTAAGACTAAGGAAACTTGAGAGGGGCTGCAGATTCTCAGAAAGTGACTTCGGGGAACGTCCTGCAGCCTATTTGGACACGTGGTCCATCTTGGATCCTTTTCTGTCATGGCTTTTGTGTTCTCTGTGTTGCTAGGACTTTCTCTGACCTTATTTCTTACCCTTCTTCCTATTCCAGCCTAGAAAGCAGACTATCTTATCTCCAAAGACGTTTGTGCAGGCTGTCAGTTCTGTTCTTGCCATAGCAGTTAGCATCTGGCCCTGCCATGCATTGTAATGGAGGTAGAGACTTGTCAGACTTGTTGTTGGCAGCCTTTCTTTTCACTAGATAAGGATAAGAAACCTGAGAAACAATGGGTGGAAGCATAGAAAATACAGATCGGTCAATAGCATGATTTTTAGAAGGATATCCAAACCGATCTTCAGCAATCAAGACCCTGGCTGTACTCATAGACTATGTTAAGCCACTTTATGCTGAGGTGATAAACCTATATCATTCCTATGAATGGCAGAGTTTGTGACGTGTACTCCTATCTGCAAAGAGTTCTGCATTTGGATAGCAAAGGTCGTTCTGTTTGGAGAAGAGCATGGGTTATGCCTGTGGTGAAGATTATCAAGGCCTCCACCTGTGTGGAGATGTCTGCAGAAAGTCTGAGGTGCTAGTTTGGAAGCTGAGAAGAGGGGTTTAAGTGACCATCTTAACGTTCCTCTATTTTACTGCATTATTATCAAATCTATGTATACTGTAGTTTTTTCTGAAACAGTGTAAAAAGACAAGGGTAGAGTTCAAAGAACATGTATAGTAACTAGGACACTTCTGCAGTGTATTGGGCGTAGCTGTGAGTCTTATGGGCAGACTTTATTATGTGGAGAGAATATGAAGGAGTACTACTTTTTCCTTCCCCCACGCACGGCCCTCCTCCCCTCAATTTTACTTATTTAAGCCTGGTTCTGGTAAAGATAACTGCAGAGTAACTGCAATTTCACTAAGCTATAGGAAGCTGTAAGGTTAGGTTATTTAAATAAACTGCCTCTGTGTATGGTTGAGACTGCCTGTTTCAAATTTTTAGCTTTAAAGGAATGTCACGTTTTCTAACTTTTTAACGGATATGCCTCCTCATAGATTTTTATTAATGAGTTTTATTTATTACATATTGCAAGTTCTTATATATGCACTTTAATACAGATTCTGCCCTACCCTACAATTAGTCTAATTATGTAATACTTGATAGCAACCCATTGGGAGTGCATAATAAACTGTCTGTTGCCGTATTTGCTTACTTCGCTCAAAAGCTTTTTTTCTCCTGTCATCTTGAAATTGTGACTTCTGAGCTTATTGGAGGGGGCTTATATCTAGAGAAACACTATCTTTATAGACTTATGCTTAAGAATTCAGAATATTGCTGTAGTCAAGTGCTTTGACAAATGTCTCTCTTGCACTTTCATCATTTCTCTAGAAGATAAATGTGAGGTTGGGCACCTGCAGAAGTTTCCATTAGAAATCCTATTTTGACGTGTTCATAACTTTCCAAAACATTGGTCTTTCAAGCTGAAATTTACTGCATGTTTTTTGTACAAAGGTATTTGAATTTTTTTAATTTATGAATTTTGTTTTCCTTCTGACCTATAGCAATGTGGTAAAAAAACCCTTGGCAATACTAATAGGAAAAAAATCAGACTTGCTTTGAAAAAGATAGAAAACAAATGACTGAAGCCTGAGAATACTTTCTATATGATTACAGATATTTTTGAAGGGGAGGAATGTATTGATCATGCACGGTAGTTGGTTGTCTGTAAGGCAAATTTAGCATGGCCATGTGCTTTTCCATATATATATGCGCAGTTAATTGAATGCGCACTTCCAGTTCTTTGATCCATCAGGCTCTTTGCTGAAATCTAAGATTCAAGGAGCTTAGAAAGTCAAGTTTAAGAAAATACTTTTTTCTAAGTATTATTTTCAGGGGAAATCAAGCAACAACCTATGACACTTAAATTCTTATTTTAATGATGCTTTAATGCTGTTAATTTAGCTGTGTTGCATAAATATTTAGCTTACACAACAAGGTTAAACTAATATTTAAGCAATATCTTACTTTTAAATGGTCATATGTTCTTTCAACTTAAACACTTTGGGAGTGAATAATGTCAATCAAAACAAATTTCTATCCAGTTTTATATTTGGAGATATATGTGTATATATATAGAAATATATATTGTGTGTCAGGATTTGAGTGTTACTAAATAATGTTGGACCTGACCATTCCTGCATATCTGTCCTGTAACGTTTTGAGCTTGAATACCTAGTGGAGTCTGTGTTTCCGTTAAGTAACGCTTGCTTATCAAAGGAGGTTATGGAACTTAACTTGATTTACGATGCTAACTGTTATATGACTTACAGGTTATACTACTTAGCAGTATTTGTGCTTCTGCTAACACCTTACACCCCATTTTACCTTTTATGGGGCTTTTTCTTTCCATTAATGCCATATTAAGTAGTTTGTATCTAACAAACAAAGTCTCTTTTGTGTCTGCTAACGTGAAGGGGCCGTTTTCGGCAGGAAAGCACAGATCAGAAGAGTAATCCTAAAGTGTTCCACAGCCTTGCTGTGCTGAATGCCTGCTCAGCATCTCAAAATCATCATCATCTTTCCTTCTACCTCAAAAGTGTATTTTTTCAAGTATCTTCACTTGTTCTGTATTGTGAAGATGTTAACTAATAACTCCTCTATTTTTAGTATTTATTGTGGGATAATCACAGGAATCAGAAGCATGAATTCTCCAGGGATGTCATTAGCTTGTGTTATTCACTTTACCTGTCAAACCTTATTGTTCTGTAAATACCCACATGGATGGACTAATGAGTAGACAAGAAGAGGTGACAAAACTAGAAATCAGTTATGCTCTTATGCTGTCATATAGTCTTTATTGTGTTCCAGGACACCCAAATTTGTAGTTATGGTAATCTTTCCTATCAGCTCTGCTTAAATAACTGGTGTTTGAAAACTGTTTACATTTCTAAGCTACTTGATGGAAAACATGAGCACTGACTGCAGTGATAAGCCAAGGATATAG